AGTCTGCGTCACTTGTTACTGTTCTGTAAGGTCGGAGGTTATGCTGGGGGGGGAGGTTGTCAAGCTATGCAGCTCTCAATAATAGTATTCTCGTAATCCTCCTGAATCAGATGAAAATGACTCATTTCTTTTCTCCCGATTTAGGACAAACTTACATTTTAGGATTCCCCTAAGACAATACGTAATAGGGTTTTGTTTTACTGTTAATGTTAACATATTATTAACAAGCCCAGTATTTTCCTTTTCTTTTGTATTAGTCTTCTGTAGGTCCCATGGTTCCAGGGAATCCACGTAGGGACTACTACACAGGGATCAGAGTAAGTTCATGTCCTCCATAGTAAAATGTCCCTGTAAAAAAACAATCACAGGTTTTCTGCACATGAAGTGTAGTCAAGATCTAGTCCTGGTTTCAGGGTTAACACTCAGATCCTGTTGCTTCCCTCATGCAGGTTGGTGCCAGACATTGAGTGTGTTTTATCAAGTTTTGTCAGAACACAAGCAATACCAATATATTTTAACTATTACTGTTGTTTCTGGGATCGTAAAATAAATTGGGCACTTCTTGTCTGAGCAAATGGCAGGCTGCCTTCTTGGGTCCTTGTTGTCTGATATCTAAACAGATTAGTATTGTGGTGAATGAGATTCTCCTCCATCATTTTAAAACCCCACCACCACATCTGACTGAATTAACAACAGAACAGGCTGCTTTTATTTGTTGCAATTTTTTTGTTATTTTCCACGCCCCCAACTCCATTTCAACACAATTTATCTTGGAATGACCTCAGCCTTCAGAGTGGATTTGTATCAAAATCATCAGAGCAGCGTGAAGGCACAGCGGGCTTCAGCTCCCTGTGTGTGTCTGAGTCTGAGAGCCTCGCTGTCTCACACACACACACACACACACACACACACACACACACACACACACACACACACACACACACACACACACACACACACACACACAGCTAGAAGAAATGCTAATGGTGGTAAGAATTCCAGTCTGGATCCAACTACAGTGTGGACAGAGGACAAAAAGGGGACACAACACCCTGTGACTGCACCCTGTTTTTCTCCCATTCCCCAAAGCACGGCTGCCTGTGGTAACTCACTAAACAGTCTGCAGCGTCCGCCAGCTGAACAGAATCCCCAAATCAGGCAGGACTGGTGTCACAAAGGCCCCCCTGAGGGCCGTAAGTGCATCACTGCTTGGATTTGTGTCCTCTACGGCTCCACAAAAGGGCATAAAGAAAAAGGAACACAATTTTGGATTTTTTTCCGACTCCCCCAGCCCAGACCCCATCCCTTGCTTGCCTGGCTGACCGTATTGGGATGCTTGGCTGAACCTGAAAGCCCAGGGGTCAGCTCTTTAACTCTGCCCTATGGTGATTACGGAAAATAACAAGGTCGTCTCAATCGTGGTGTCTTTGGTCGGCCCGTTGGAAGGTTGCTGGTTACAATGTGAAACTCTATTCACGCACCAACCAAAAATATTCATAAACCCCCCGCCCCCCCACCCATTCTTTGGGAGCTGCCATGACCAATTGGACAATGCCTGCAGCTGTCCTCTTTACACTGCTCTATTAGCTACCAGTGTTGGGTAATTTTTTGTTACCTTGTCAGTTTTCGTTACACTGCTACATGTTTTTCAACCACTGCAAAACAATAGACAATCAGCAACATTTTGGGTAGTGTATGATTATTAGTAGGTCATTATTGAAACATTTCCTAATTTAGTGTTTGTTAAAGGAAATATTTAAATGTTGTAATGTTTTAATTACGGATGGTTCATTGCTGTAGTAGGTTATATAAGCCAGTGTGATGAATGTGATTTGGGGGGTGTAAGTAGTTTGAGAGTATGATGCCTCAACCAGCCTGCGCCCACAGCACCACATGAAAGTGGTGTGAAATTGCTCCAAAAGGGATATTTATAGCAGATGTGTAAGCAGCATATTACAACACACCCTGAGACACGACAAAAGTTTCATTTCAAACAATTAGCATTGGTAGGTTCTGTTACCGCCATTCAAAACGGCTCTGAATAGTAAAGGGGCTAGTTGCTCGTCATTGCAGATGGATACCGTGTTCAGGAGGCGCGACATGGGAGGAAATGTTGAAGTAGATGAGAAACTACCTGAACTTGTCCAATTGGTCAAAGCAACCATTCTGGACAATATTTGTTTCCCTAGTTCACCATTTTTGTCAATATAATGTAGTTTTGTGAGTAACAAATGGTGGCAAAGGTTCCTTGTGGTGCCAAGTCATGCTCCTCCATCTTGCATCATATTCAGTTGTAGTTCTGCCACCACACGTAAGTGCTAAAATTTCCCTGAGCACCTGTCTTAAGGCATCCAGTTATGTGGATGATCCTGTGTTGAGATTTAGGTAGGTATAGTTAGCTTTAAAAATAAATAAAGAGTTGCACACTGTGTGTGTGTGTATATACACTACCGGTCAAAAGTTTTAGAACACCTACTCATTCAAGGGTTTTTCTTTATTTTGACTATTTTCTACATTGTAGAATAATAGTGAAGACATCAAAACTATGAAATAACACACATGGAATCATGTAGTAACCAAAAAAGTGTTAAACAAATCAAAATATATTTGAGATTCTTCAAATAGCCACCCTCTGCCTTGATGACAGCTTTGCACACTCTTGGCATTCTCTCAACCAGCTTCATGAGGTAGTCACCTAGAATGCATTTCAATTAACAGGTGTGCCTTCTTAAAAGTTAATTTGTGGAATATATATTTCCTTAATACTTTTGTGCCAATCAGTTGTGTTGTGACAAGGTAGGGGGCGGTATACAGAAGGTAGCCCTATTTGGGAAAAGACCAAGTCCATATTATGGCAAGAACAGCTACATGATTCCAAATGTGTTTATTTCATAGTTTTGATGTCTTCACTATTATTCTACAATGTAGAAAATAGTAAAAATAAAGAAACACCCTTGAATGAGTAGGTGTTCTAAAATGTATTGGGTAAAACACCAACGTTTCGGGATCACTGAGCCTTCTTCAGGGTGACCCACAGTGATGCCGACATGTTGGTGTTTTACCCAATAAATGACTGGGAGTTTATATATACAGAGTGTGGTGTTTTACCCAATAAATGACTGGGAGTTTATATATACAGAGTGTGGTGTTTTACCCAATAAATGACTGGGAGTTTATATATACAGAGTGTGGTGTTTTACCCAATAAATGACTGGGAGTTTATATATACAGAGTGTGGTGTTTTACCCAATAAATGACTGGGAGTTTATATATACAGAGTGTGGTGTTTTACCCAATAAATGACTGGGAGTTTATATATACAGAGTGTGGTGTTTTACCCAATAAATGACTGGGAGTTTATATATACAGAGTGTGGTGTTTTACCCAATAAATGACTGGGAGTTTATATATACAGAGTGTGGTGTTTTACCCAATAAATGACTGGGAGTTTATATATACAGAGTGTGGTGTTTTACCCAATAAATGACTGGGAGTTTATATATACAGAGTGTGGTGTTTTACCCAATAAATGACTGGGAGTTTATATATACAGAGTGTGGTGTTTTACCCAATAAATGACTGGGAGTTTATATATACAGAGTGTGGTGTTTTACCCAATAAATGACTGGGAGTTTATATATACAGAGTGCGACTCTTTATTTATTTTTATAGCTTAGTTTATTCGCCGTTAGTCAGCACCTCTACACAAAATAATTTTCTCTGGGCGTGCTCCAGCTCCAGCTTTTTATTAGGTATAGTTAGCTAACATACAGGTTGTCCCGTGTTAGATGCTGTGCCAGTAGAGGAGAAGGGGGGGGGGGGGAATCTAAATCCCCACAGGAGATCACCTTACATGCAACATATTTAGATTATTGAGTGGCAGGGATCTCTCTCTCTCTGTGTGTGTGTGTAGCCTGCTACTTGTGTATGTAGACTTGTGTGTCAATCTCTGAAGGACTCGTTTGAGCAGATCTCGAGTTAAATACTTTGGGTGTACAATACCAGATTTAGTCATCGTCATAGTTCAAGAAACTCAAGAGTTTGGTGAAAAGGTCAAGAGACGTAAATCTACAAAGTGAAACGAACCTGCCGATTCATTGTATGTATGCAGTTGGTAAGGTGTACGTTGGTGTACTGTATATTGTTCATGTCATATTCTGTTACGACATAACTGACTTTACATCACCCACTGAGCTCAAATCTCAGAGTTGAAATCCTCTCCTGCCTCTCCTGTGTCTTATTAGTTATATGGCACCTTGAACAGCTGTCTCCTAACCCTCTACTCGTCTCCTAACCCTCTTCTCCTCCTCTCCTAACTCTCCTCTCCTAACCCTCCTCTCACACCACATTCATCAGGGCTGCACTCTTGTTTTTTCTGAGGGGCTCAGATGCCCTGGCTGGAAATGACTCCCTTTCTATTTCTGATAACTTAATGGCTGTCCCTCTGTTAAAGCCTGACCTTCTTCTTAGAACGCAGTATTCATGCAGACAGGGCCGGGGTTGTAGTAGTAGTAGTAGTAGTAGTAGTAGTAGTAGTAGTAGTAATTTGGTCTACCTGAATGGCACAGGGGAAGACATAGAATAATGGCAGAAATTGAGCAACCTCTTTTTGAACCTCAAGCCTCAACGTCACCCACAAGGCTACCCTTAGATGTCACCAGAAAAGCGTTTGAGTAGTATAGCTTAGTTCATGAAATACATCAACCGCATCTGTAAAATGGAAGCTTACAACCAAATGGACTCTTCAAATAAGAAAAGTTAATCAAATTGTCATACTCTGCTCACTCCTTTGAAAAATGGGAAGTTCTGTTTTACTGTCATCCCCAGCACTAGATTACACTTGTAAGCACATTTTGGAAACAGCAGTAGTTCTGCTGACAAGGCAGTCAGTTTCACCTCTCTTGAGCAGTCAGGAAAAGGTCTCTCTCACTTTCTCTCTCTGTTACATGCAGCGGTAGTAGCTTTCAGGGTGTAACTGACTGACTGTAGACTGTGTACTGATGTGCTTCTGCATGGCTGTCTTTGTGTTGTCCTTCCAGCAGGCCAATGAAGCCCTGCATCACCAACACCAGGTGGCCCAGAACAGCTTGCTGCCTCTCCTCCAGTCAGGAGGACCAGAACCTGTGGACCAGAAGCCTGTGATGCCCATCCTCCTGGATCAGAAGCCCCCGGTCAGCGTCGCTGAGCTCCTCAAGGACAATGTGGCCAGTGGGACGGGAGGAGGAGGAGGAGGAGGAGGAGGCGGCGGTGGTCCCGTTGCTGTGGTGAAGAAAGAGCCCAAGTCCAAAACGCCTTTCATCTGCGGATACTGCAACAAGGCCTTCCGGGACAGTTACCATCTCAGACGGCACGAGTCCTGCCATACGGGCGTCAAGATGGTGTCTCGTCCCAAGAAGCCACAGACGGCGCCCACCATGGTGCCCATGATCTCCACGGTGCCGCAGCGTGAGAACAGCGGCGGCCAGCCCTCTTACATTTCCACCATCGCTGGCATCCTCACCACGGCCACAACCTCTGCCTCCACGGGCTCCAGCATCATGTCTCCCACCATGGTTTCCCAGCAGCACCAGCATCAACAGCATCAGCAGCAGCAGCAGAGCCAGCCCAAGAAGCCTGCCAAGCCTGTGAAGAAGAACCATGGCTGTGAGATGTGTGGCAAGGCCTTCCGTGACGTCTACCACCTGAACCGTCACAAGCTGTCCCACTCAGACGAGAAGCCCTTCGAGTGCCCCATCTGCCAGCAGCGCTTTAAGAGGAAGGACCGCATGACCTACCACGTGCGCTCGCACGACGGGGGCGTTCACAAACCTTACATCTGCTCTGTCTGTGGGAAGGGCTTCTCCAGGTGCGTGACGCAATTCAACTTACTACAAACATTTTTTTGTCCATAATGTTATTGTTCATAGTACATGATGTTGAGCTGTAATTGTCAATAATGCATTCTGTGTAAGGTTCGTTGGAATTTCACACATTTCTTACCGTTACCACCACTGTGTGAAGGTCATCCATTTTTCCACTGCTTCCATTTCAATGGGCCCCAAATATATTTCCTGATTGTGGGGGAAAAGCAAGAGGAGGGCAATATTACACCTTTTCAAAAGTCGTCTTTCTTCAGAATCGGATACATTTATGTACAGGATAGGACTTTATGTTGTAGAAGAAGAAGCCTAAATTACAGTTAAAAAAGCCATAAAGGCTAGAAGGGGGCAGGTTGTTTTGTTGGGCTGCACCTACTGAAGACTGTCACATGCAGACCTAGATGAATATGATATGGATGATGGCGGGCTTTGTTGGGTAAAAACATTCCACTTGAAATTGATATTCAGTGGTCAGTAGCCTAATAATTTAATGGTGTGATTAATTGTAATTTGGGAAATCCCCACGTGTTGGAATGTAATTGAATTGGACTGGTTAATCAGTCTCAATCGATTGGAATTTAGGAACGTTGCTTTGCATACTAGTGTGTTCTCACTATGATGCTTTAATGCACATAGCCAAAAGGTGTATTATGTACAATTTCCACTTTGAATGAAATTCCCCAAGCAAAGAACCAAAGGTGGAGTATAATTTGAATGCCTAAAATCACACACCGGAAGGCCTATTTATATGGTATCCCTATGAGACAGTGTCCTTAATTGTTGTTCTGGACCACCTCTTGTTTGTGCGTAGCATTATGAAGCTTGGCCATGATTACCGATGCCCCACGCAGTTTCCGTTCAGACCCTAGTACTGGCTCATGACATGCAAGCAGTGCCCCACCATGTATATAAACAGTATCTGGAGCTTTGCGTGCGTCACATAGTAGTCCCTCGTGTCCCCCCTCTCAGGGATGTCAGCACGGGACAGGGAGACGGCTGCAGGGGCCAGACAGCACCAGAAGAGATGGTCCTGGGTCTCCAGTGTCACTCCTGCAGCTCCCAAGGCCAATGGTAGTGTTCTGACTCACTGACTGGTCTGATTTCTAATCATTGATTTAGCTCCTCCCCCTGTTATTTCCAATATTGGGGAGTGCAGGTCTCCCTTTCAGACATCAAGTTCTCAGTAAACGGTGATGTGTTTCTGTGAGCGAAATTATTAGTACTATCGTCTTATATTCGGGGTCTAGTATTCAGAGCGCAGTTTCTCTTCTTCGGCGCTCCCTTTAAATGTCAATACACATTCGCGGGCACAGATGGCGCCAAAAATTCGTTCCGGACGGAGGGAAGAGGCGTCCTTAACAACCAGCCCGTTACCGGTGTTTAAAGATGGAAAGACAGGCTGACCATTTAGAGACAAGTGGCTCAAAAGTGGGCCAGGTCAATAAACAACAGCGGAGGAGCTATGATGCCAATTTCAAAATAATGGTTGTCAATAAGGCAGAGTCATCTAACAACTGCCAAGCTGCCAAGACATTCGGGGTCACTGAGTGTAATGTAAGAAGATGGCGAGCAGAAAAACAACGTCTAAAAGATGCTAACAGTCAGCGAAAATCCTTCCGTGGTCCTCAAAGTGGTCGTTTCATTGAGGTTGACCGGAGGGTTTTTGAATATGTCAGGGAAAAAAGAAGTGAGGGAATGCCCATTACCAGAGCTGTCATCCAGGTTAAGGCCCTGGAAATCGCCAGAGAGCTCAACATCACTGGATTTAAAGCCAGCCTCGGCTGGTGTCGTAGGATGATGCGGCGTAATGGACTGTCACTTAGACGGAGAACGAGTTTGGCCCAACGCCTGCCGTCAGACTTCGGAGAGAAGCTGCTTTCGTTTCAGCGCTTTGTTATCAACCTGAGGAAGAAGCACTCCTACCCGCTGGATCAGATCGGCAATGCTGATCAGACACCCGTTTATTTCGACATGCCAACATCGGTGACTGTCAATAGAAAGGGAGAAAAGTCTGTGTTGGTGAAATCAACGGGCAACGAGAAGAGCCGCGTCACTGTCATGTTGACATGTCTCGCTGGTGGCAGCAAACTCCCCCCGTATGTCATTCTTAAGCGTAAGACTGTGCCAAAGGACCCAATGCCAGCTGGCATTATTGTGCGCGCCCAGGAGAAGGGCTGGATGGAGTCGGGGCTTGTAGTGGATGCTATTCCCTCACAGAGCATCATAAACTAGTGAAGGATATTGTATCATAACCACAGTGACTTGGTGCGAAGTAACATCTTACTCTTGTGCGGCTAGGGGTGCATGTTGATTTTCACGCTTGGCAGTCCTGAAAGAGGCTATTCCCCTCTTCTTAAACGAAGGAGTGTTGAGTGGGAGGAGAGATGAGCTTTTCAGCTTCCTGAGGAGATGGGGTTGGACTCCTGCTCGCCATCACAAAAACCCTGCTAGTGTGAAACCGCCTCCTTAGAGACATGTTCAAGCCACACTCTGGCTGCGTTTGTCCAGTAGCTACATTTTCACTAGTATGGCTTAGTAAGGGCAGACGAGGACAACTGAGCAACAGACGAACGGCTGTGGTTGTCAGATAATTGTCTTCTCCAGGGTATACTGTAGAACAGATATGATTTTCTGTCATGTTGTAAAATAGACTTCTAGCTAGATTTTGAAATATGTCTAAATTCCATCCCTCTGATAATTTTTGGGTGTGGCTCAACTGAATAACTCTCTGGTCTTGTTGCAAGAACATAGATCATTTATTTGGTGGAAAGAATGCATTTGGGAGGGGTGTAGTAGTGGATTGATGCTCTAATAGCTTGTGTCCCATGGGTCAAATATGGCCCGCCATGAGACTAACATTCATTCATTTAATAAATAAAACATCCACAGTAAAAGCCTTTGATACAATTTGCATAATTGAAGACAGTGGGTTCACAGAGCATTTGTCATTTGCCTGCGACCTTTTGTTGGCCCATTTTGTTAATTGAATCAAGTGTCAACGGTGTAGTAGTGTGTGCAGCCCCAGCTACTGTCACTGTATGGAGTGAATGATGAAACTCTACCTGTGTTGTAGCTACTATACCAGGTTTTAAAATGCCTGTGTTCTTCTGTGTCCTCTCTCCCCCTGCAGGCCTGACCATCTAAGCTGTCACGTGAAGCATGTTCATTCCTCAGAGAGACCCTTCAAATGCCAAGTAACGGTAAGAAGCCAGGCATCCTCCTCCGGGACTCCACCCTCCCTGTTTATGTTCCCTCCGGGACTCCACCCTCCCTGTTTATGTTCATGCTCCTATCCCGCACATTCACTCCTGGTTTGTTGGATTAAGCGTAATAAAATTATCCTATCTCCCAATTGTAAAATATAATCTCTCCTGAATCTTCAAGATGCAGACATGTCTGCAGTTTAGACAGACAGACCGAGAGAGAGTGAGTGAGTGAGATTGTATAGTCTAATATCCCCCTCATTGTCCCTGTATACCTCCCCAGGCCTGCACCTCTGCTTTCGCCACCAAAGACCGCCTGCGGTCCCACATGATCCGACACGAGGGCAAGGTGACCTGCAACATCTGTGGCAAGATGCTGAGCGCCGCCTACATTACCAGCCACCTGAAGACCCACGGCCAAGCCAGCTTCAACAACCCCTGTAATAAAGGTACGCAAGGCAGCCTCCACCACTCTCTTCTCCTCCTCCACTCCCTCCCTCTCTCCCCTCAGCCACACCTAGCCTGGGGTCCTCCAGACCTAGGTATTAAATCGTATTTGTTTTCTTAAAAATACTTTAGGTACTTATTCCGTCCCTGTCTTTATGCTGAAAGCACCCCATGCATTGTTAGAGACATTAGCTCCTCCCCCTGTTATTTCCAATATTGGAGAGTGCAGGTCTCCCTTTCAGACATCAAGTTCTCAGTAAACGGTGATGTGTTTCTGTGAGCGAAATTATTAGTAACTAGTGAAGGATATTGTATCATAACCACAGTGACTTGGTGCGAAGTAACATCTTACTCTTGTGCGGCTAGAGGTGCATGTTGATTTTCACGCTTGGCAGTCCTGAAAGAGGCTATTCCCCTCTTCTTAAACGAAGGAGTGTTGAGTGGGAGGAGTCCACTCAACACTCCTTCGTAGCTCAGCTGGTCCTCTGTAGCTCAGCTGGTAGAGCACGGCGCTTGTAACGCCAGAGTAGTGGGTTCGATCCCCGGGACCACCCATACACAAAAATGTATGCACGCATCACTGTAAGTCGCTTTGGATAAAGCGTCTGCTAAATGGCATATTATTGTTCTGTGGTGAACTATACACAAAAGGCAGGCACAAAGCACGTTGTCAGGGGTGTATTCATTCCAACGATTCTGTTGCTAAACGTTTCTTAAATGGAAGCAAATTGAATTAAATGTGGAGGGACCTAACTGAATTTGTCCAATAGAAACTCTCGTTTTGATCTGTTTGATTCTTAAACGTTAAACGGTTTCCGTAATGAATACACCACAGGTTTTAGAAGTTGTCGTCAGATTTCGGACCTTTCTCTAGAGTCACGAAATCATGAAATGGAGTGGAGAGTGACCCATGTCTGGATGTATTTGATTCCAATATATTTGGGTCAGGATAAAGAATGTTTAGGAATAGGCCTATTTTATGTTGGCCATTTTCATGGACATTCATCTCCTTCATTGCAGCACCACAACAAATTGACTTACAGATTCAAATGTACTCCACAACAGTCCACAACTGACAAGGACTGTGTCGTTGCCACTCATTCATGGCTTAATATCCTGATAATGTCTGTTTGCTGGGGCCCACCCGCAGGCCGGCCGGTCTGCTTGGCCAGTTGTTTACATGTGTGGTGGAGATGACAAGTATCTGCTGACAGAAATCGATATCCTGTAGCAAGAAATCTTTTAGGAGATGGTCTAAATTTGAAGGGCTTTGCAAGTTCAATTCATTTGACGCACATAGCAAACTAGTGCAGCAATGCAAGTCATTCAAATGCGATATGCGACTCGACCAAATAAATAATTTAATATCCTCTCATTAAGTGTTGATGGGTCTGTTTTCAGACTCTGGGTATCTTGTTTGTCTGTCAGCTGTTGAAATTGAGGTTTATGATGTCTGCTCTCTCGTTGGTTTGTCAAACCTCCACTTATGGGTGTTTAAAGTCCAGTTTGAAAGAAATAAGATCACTGATGCATTTGTCATAGGATTGATCACTCTAAAATAGCAAGGGCAAAATCTATAGTTCAGCAGACCCTATTCATTTTACAATAACATGGGTAAATGGGTACGC